AAATGGGTCCCAACTGACTTGTGCACGGCACCCCACTAACTGGTCCCTAACCGTGTACCAAATTTGAGCGCCATCGGTCCAGCCGTTCTCGAGATCTGGAAACGACCCCTGCACGTGCGCACGTGCAGCAGCACCCCAACTCTGGCACATGGATATGCAGTGCCTAGTGGGTGCCTACCTACATGCCAACTTTCAGCATAATCGGCCCAGTAGTTACCGAGATATTGCAACAATTACAAAACTGACACGTCTTCGTTTTGCACGTGGCACGTGCATAAGGGGTCACCCACATGCATCGGGAATAGTTCAATACTTGGTAGAAGGAATGAAGCTACCCTACAAAAATTACCCCGTGTAAATCGGTCAAGTGGTTGCTGAGATATAAGCCTCGCAAAAGCGTCCGCACGGCCGGCCGGCCGGCCGGCCGGCCGGCCGGCCGGCCGCTCATACTCAGAAATTTCCGTTAATCTAAGGAAAGACTCCGCTCGCTTCGCTCGCTCCGTAATCACAGGCGGCGGATGATTCCTAGGTCTGCCCAATACGACCGCCATCGTTAAACAATACGCCGCCAATAGGGTTAAAGCGGCATTCATCTCCCTGTGGTGAGAAGCAACAGATTTTCAAACAGAATAAAGGCAATGACCACTAAATTAACCCTCGCCGGCCGAGGTGGGGGGGGGGCGGGTGCCGCCCCCCCCCCCCCTAGGGTTTTTTCGCGATAGCTCCGAACACGCTTGCGATAGAGAGCTGAAACTTGGATACCTGACCTTTGATTCAAGCCGTATCTTTTGACACCAACCGCATTTTTGGGTCAGGTCAGGTCACTGACCTATGACGTCATAAGTGAACCTCTGCACGGTCTTCAGATGTCGCAACTTCGCAACGCCCTCACTGCCAGAGGAGATGTCACAGGGAAATGAAACTTGCAGGATCTAGTATCCATTATGAGTCTCACAACTTGTATATCTCGGATTTTTCCTAAAGGTCATATGAGGTCAGGTCATTTTCGTGACCTCACCATTATAAGTCAATGGGGAAAAATGAAAACTGCTATTCTGGCGCCAGGAACGATCTCCAACTATCTCAAGCACACAGAATCGTGATTTGATGCACTCCTTGCAAGGTTAGATGCGTCACATTTGCAATGTTGACCTTGCGTGACGTCATTTATGACGTCATCAAGGTCATATTAGTTTTTCGTCAATAACTCTTGATCAAATTGAGCTATCGAGTCGGGAAAGCCACCAATGGACTCAAGAAGACCTGCCGAATCGAATGATGTGCGACATGACCTCTTTCGACCAACTTCGTGACCCGGGGGTGCTGACCTGACCTTGACCTGAGGTCAACACCCCAAGTTGACCTGACCCGAACAAAAAGTGTATCAATCGACGCGCCTAAGCGAGGCGAACACGATGCTGCCAAAATCGCGGCTCTGTGGCCGTTTTTTTGCGAAGTTATTCACCAAAACTGAACCGTATCCTGGGTCACTTGACCTGACCTCAGAGGTCACCGGTTGACCTAGGACCTTAAAATCGGGTACCAATCTCTGCGTCTCGTAACGGCGCACACGCTCGTTTTTTCCGCGACGCGCTAGCTCCACCAGGGGCGAAACGGCGAGGGGGGTCGTACCCGCCCCCCCCCCCCCTCGGCCGGCGCGTATGTAGAAAACCAATAGGTCCGGCGAGAGTTAATGCTCCGATTACAAAATTAGTCACTGTGGGAATGCTTTCTAGTCCATTTTTCTTTAATTCATTGTTATAAGCGTAATACCTAAGTGTAATTCTGAATGGGCGGGGTTCACTTGTATTGAATGCTCAGGACCCTGTCGGGGGGAGGGGGGGGGGGCATGGTTGCAGCCACCTTCAATAGTCCCGAATGGCCCACGTGCTTAAAATTAAAATACTGAGACGTACCCGTATCAGAAACCTACATGTTGCGGCGTTAGACGTCTCTACAGGAATTGCACTCTCTAGCAAAATATGTTTTGTCTCGAGAGATAAGTCATTGCGGGACATATTGACGGTTGCCATAGCAACCACATAAGCTAGTTTACGAATTAAGTTGCCCAACCTAGGTGAGAACGAACTTATGGGACACCCTGTATTGATATGATTCGCATCCGGCTTTTCCCTCCTTAGAAGCAGCCCAATCTTATCCTTGATCACAGATGTACTTCGGGCCTCCTCGTTTGAGATGACAGTCACATCAACCACGGACAACAGAGGAAGGTTCCTTAGCAGGACCACGCTCTCCGCGAGGTGACCGGTTGAGTGCAGTTTTAGAGCCTTGGTTTGAGTTAGTTTGAGACTTGAGTGGCTGGCAGAGGCCTGTCTCACCAGACAATAGACATTCCCGTCCAACGGGAGGGGCGCAGCCACTGAGAATCATTAGTAGGAAGTCAGCTTATTCCAATCAGGCACGTACCCAGGATTTTGCCCAGGAGGGGCCCACCTGCTCTCAAAGGGGCCCCCTGGTCACCCGGGGGCCCCCTGCCAACCCAGGCAGTGGGCGTGCTCAGAACCTTTCGATGGGGGGGGGCTGGGTACAGTGGGCCCAGTCCTCCCTTGCCCATCTGTAACGGTCTTAGCCCTAAGAAAATGTGGAAAATTGGAAGGCGAAAACGTCATTTTTGCCTAAAAAGTATGTATAAAATGCACAGAATCTTATGAGCGAGCGTAGCGAGCGAGCGCCTCAGAGTCGCCTGTGTGGGTCCCTCGGAGGCACTGGTCTGGGGCGCTCAGAGGTGCTGGTGAAAGACCATCAGATGCAATGGTGTGGGGTCCTCACAGGCACCGTTTTGGGGCCTTAGGGTTATAGAGACACTGGTGGGGGTCATCATAGGCATGTGTGGGGCCCTGAAAGTTACTGGTGGCTCTTCATAGGCCGACAAGGGACCCTCAGAAGCCGGTCAAAAGCCCTCAGAGTCGCTGGTAAGTGCCGTCAGATGTGCTAGTGGAGGGCCCTCAGAGGCGCCGGTGTGGGGGCCCTTAGAGCCGCAAATGTGGGCCCTCAAGAGGCACTGGTGGGGGGCACTTAGATGTGGCGGTGAAGGCTTTCGCAGGCGCCGTTATGAGGGCACTCAGAAGCACTGATGTGGGTCGTGGGTCCATAACAGACGAATGTGGGGCCCTTATAACTGATCCCTCATTGGCCAGCTAGGCCCTCAGAGGCCGGCAAAGGTCCCTAAGAAGCCGACGTGGGGCCCTTCTGGAGAGTGTGGCTACATACAGGGTGGACCAAAAAGGATGGAAACATTTTGAACTCGCATAAAACATGCATTATTGCATGCATGTGACTGGAAATGGTACCAAACGAGAGTACATTTCGTGGAAATTCATAACGGCAGCACTCTCATCTGCTTTCTCTCGTTTTCAGTCTCTCACAGCAAATGTTCGAAGAGACCACCTTCGCAAGACAGGCACAGCGGCCGGTCTGGTGGCTGGCGCGATAGCCCGACGACACATGTTCGCTGGTATGGCTGACACAGTCTTGGTGATCGCTCTCTTCAGGTCACAGAGACCTTCCTTGTAGACCTGGCCCTTGAGATGAGATGATCAAGAAGTCACTGCACAGCAGCAAGGTCACCGAAATGGTGTGCCCTCAGCGGAAAAGGAATCGTGGGTCCACTTTGGTTCGAGGAAGGGAGCGGCAACACCGTGACCGCCAATCAACAGCGCATACCAGGCGGCGCTTAGGAAGTTCTGAGAGCGAGTCCAAACGAAGCATGGCAGCCCCATCAAAGACCATATGTGGTTCCAGCAAGACGGTGCGCCTCCTCACATCGCAAAAACAACGCTCAAGTGCATCGAAAACCACTTCGGTGACCGGCTGATAACCCGCGGTGCCAGTCAGAACTGGCCTACCTGCTCATCCGACCTGACCCCTATGGATGTTTTACTGTGGGGTCATCTCAAGGGCCAGGTCTACAACTTACAAGGAAGGTCTAGAAAGCCTCTGAACTGAAGAGAGCGATCAGCAAGGCTGTGTGAGCCATACAAGCGGGCTATCGTGTCAGCAGCCAGGCTGGTCGCTCTGTGCCTATCTCGCGAAGGTGGTCACAACGAACATCTGCTGTGAGAGACTGAAAACGGGAGAAAGCATATGAGAGTGATGCCATTATGAATTTCCACGAAATGTACTCTTGTTTGGTATCATTCCCAGTCACATGCATGCAATTATGCATGTTTTATACGAGTTTAAAATGTTTCCATCCTTTTTGGTCCACCCTGTAAGAGCCCACGAATTGCTCTCTCCAGCCCTGTCGCGTCCTTTTCAATTGAAGGATGGTCAGCGTGGACCCTCTGCCGCCAATTGGCACCACAGGGCCCCTCGGGCCCGAGGGAACCTAAACCCGATAACGGCCACATGCCCCCTAGCCCCCTGGCTATGCCACTGAATCAAAGTGATCAGGGGCCTCCTTAATCAGGGGCGTCTCAGGTGACCAGGAGACTTTCAATTGACCAGATCCCACTAAGTGACCAGGGGACCGGGACCCTCTTATAAACAGGGGCCATTTATATCAGGGGGCCCTCGCGTAACTAAAGGCCTTCATATGGCTGCAGGGGCCTTGCAGATAACCAGACATTTCCCGGATAAACACGGTCCATCAGGTGACCAGGGGGGCCCCTGAGGTGACCACCACGGAGGTAACCAGGGGGCCTCGTGCCCCCCCCCCTTGGGTACGTCACTGATTCCAATGATCAAACTTAATTTAACATCTCATCCCACCCACGGTCTTCTTAGCAGGAAAGTTGAGCGGGCTGCAGGCTTGACCTGACGGCTGACCGTCCACGAAAAAACACGAGCCTTCAATTTAACGATAACAATCTTAGCATTTCCCGCGCTTACAACAGCCACTTCAAAACCAAACTCTCTGTCACTCTCATTTCCATTTCTCCGTCTCCCCGTCTTTTCCATCTCCCCAAAGACCGGAGCCGACCGCAGCGCCCCTGGCGGCGGCGGCGCGAACTACCGGTCCCGGAGCGGCGGAGCGGCGCACGGCCGAACGGCGCGTCAGACGTGGTATTGATTGTGCCGCGGTGCCAGTGGGTCGACGGAGGTCCCGGGCGCGAGCAGTGCTGGACCCAGGGTGACGTGTGACAGGCTCTTCCACAGCAGGCTCACCACTTCAGACAGGTAGGTGCAACGTATTGGTGGTATGGGAGGTTGGTGGGCAGGGTAGGGGAAGGCGCGGATTCTTTGGGACTCTCCAAGTGTACGGGGATGACGCCTGATTGTATGAATGAATAATTGCTTGAAGACGCGAATTGCATCATGTGTTTGAGGTCAATTGACATCGAGGCGCAGAGTTTGTCTCTGTTTTTACTGTGGATGTTTGTTATTACGCCCTTATCACTTAAAATTTCATTAATCACCTGGCCCCTTTTAAATAACTTATGAGAGGTTTTCGTTTACTTAACGTCGACGGCTTTCTTTAGCCCAATACCTACAAATAACAAGTTTTCGGCAGCCGATTTCGTTTGCATCCATGTCACCGTTTATTCCCGGCGCTGTTGCCTGTTCCACTCCGCGGAGCAGGCCGCGGTCGTTCGTTCCCACCGGCTCGGCCAGTCGGTCGAACGCCGTCCCACACTGACCCTGGACCATTTCTCGGCACCCTCCTCGTAAATTCCTCGCGAGGGGACCGCCGGAGATTTCCCAGCGGCAGCCAGGGGGACGCAGTTATAAATAGGGCCGTCCGTCAGCAGGGGTGCGAACCTGGGGCCGTCTTCAGCCCCAGGGCGGGATCACTTCCCCTCCGTCCCGAGCCCCGCGACGCCGTCTCTTCTCGACCCGTCCGTCCCAGGGCGAGTCACCCAGCAGGGAACATAACGGAGCGACAGCTAAATTGGAGGGATCGCCCGCCGCGCCCGGGCACCCTCATCTGGCTGATCAAAGCTGAAATTGCATCGGATAGCAGGAGGAGACGCGTCCCTCGGGAGGCATTTCTCTGATCTGACTCGGCCCGCCGCGCTGCGGTGTTCCGCAGACATCAGCAAGGTGTTTGTTACACCGCAGTGCAAAACTGCACGTCAGCACATCGGTGGATGCAACAGGAGAATCGCCCGTGTGCAACCGAGCATGTGCCGACCCCGTTGTGTACACAGTAACGCCCCTTATCAAAGATAGGATACCGTCACCGTCCACCCGCTATGACCATTGACCATACCGTGGCGGTGGCTCCGCGCCGGGCCGGGGGGCGGCAGCCGACCAAAGTCGATCTCCGGTCGGCGCTCGATTTTCTCCACCCAGCGCAGTGTAAAACGAGCGTCGGACACGGCCAATCAATGTCGCTGACGACTTGGGTCGGCGGCCGGCCGGCCGGCGTGCGGTCCGCCTGCGGTTGCCGCGGACTGCGGGCCCGTGTCGCAGCACCGCACCGCCGGCCGCTCGGCCTGTGAAGGCGGTCGGCAGTATCGAGGTCTGTGCGCAGTTACTTGCACCAGCCGGCCCGCTGCCAGTGTATGGAGACCAGAAAGCCACCCGAAGCACAAAAACGCATTTGTTTTGAGCCGCGCGCGATTCCCCGCGGCGTGCGCGCTCGGAGCGGCGCCGTCCATCGTACCCCGCCCGCCAGTAGCTACTGTTGGAGTACAATAACAGCGGCGGTGGCGACAGTAACGACATCGCTGCGTCGCTAATGGCGGTGACGGATGGACCCGTACAGTAATACAGCTTCATTCAGCCTCGGACTCGGCCCGGCATTCACCGCGGCCCCATACGGCTATGTCGGTGGTCAACGCCTACCCGCGGTGGCCATGCCCAAGTTTATCGGAACTTCTATGCGGGTCCCGCAGCGCTGGGCGTAATTACCAGTAAAACGCCTTTTGGGCGAAGAACGAACGAGCGAGATAGTGAGCCCTGCACGTGCGAAAGGGCGAGAGGGTACTTCCAACAGGGCTTGTGCAAAGCACCCTACTAAACGGTCGCTAGCGGTGTGCCAAATTTGAGTGCAATCGGCCCAGCCGTTCCTGAGATCTGGAAACGGCATTCTGCACGTGCGCACGTGCAAACGGGGTCCAAAATGACTTTTGCACGGCACCCTACTAACCGGTCCCCAACCGTGTACCAAATTTGAGCGCAATCGGCCCAGCCGTTCTCGAGATCTGGAAGCGCCCCCTGCACGTGCGCACGTGCAGTAGCACCCTAACCGGAACACATGGGAATACATTGCCTGGTGGGTGCCTACCTGTATGCCAAGTTTCAGCGAAATCGCCCCAGTAATTACCGAGTTATTAAAATGGGAACAAATTTGACACCTCTCATTGTTGTATTTTGCACGTGCACTGGGGGTGACCCACATGCATCGGGAGTATCCTAATTTTGGTAGAAGGGATGCTGCTACCCTACAAAAATCACCGCAAGTCAATCGCCCAAGAGGCTGCTGAGATATGAGCCTCTCAAAAACACTACTTTTGCAAAACAGCTTGAACACCCTTGACTTTTCACGTGGCACGTGCCACGACGGTCACTGAGGTGTATCAAAAGTAGTCAATTACGGGGTAGAAGGGATGGGGCTACCCAGCAAAAAAGACCGCAGGCCAATCGGTCCAGTGGTTGCTGAGATATAAGCCTCTCAAAAGCGTTACAGGCCGGGCCGGGCCGGGCCGGGCCGGGCCGGGCCGGGCCGCTCATACTGAGATTTTTCCGTTATATTGAAAAGACTCGCTTCGCTCGCTGCGCTCGCTCGCTCGTAACAACGCTAGCGGGGGCCCCGGTGAACGGGCAATTCGCCGTCATCGCTGCCGACACTCCCTACCCGTCTGCGCTGTTGCTGTCGCCGTCACCGTCCCCATCGCTCCCCCTTCCATTACTACTGTCGCCACTGTTCCCGGCTCCGGCTCCGATTCCGTCGTCTCCGCCGCTCCCGTACCGCCGAGTCTGTCGCCGCCGAAACCGTCTCCGTCTCGCCGAGGCCGTCTCCGTCGCAGTCGGTCCGTCGACCGCCTTCTCGTCGGCTCTCGTCGAGCAATGACCTTCTCGTGTTCCGCGTCGATCGGGCCCGGCGAGATGGGTAGCTCCCGTTCGACCCAACTCGATCGACCAGCGGACGAGACGGATGGTTTCCTTGACGTCAGTGATGTAATTACGAGTCGGTCGGTTAATGGTTAATAGGTGGGCCCTATTACTGATTAGGGTGTCTCATACCGTACGCTCCCCAGATCTGTTGTCCAGTATTGGCTGTTAATGGCCGTCTGCACCCAAATCGCGTTATCGTTCATATCATGATCGATAACAAGTGTTAATGGCCGTCTGCACCCAAATCGCGTTATCGTTCATATCATGATCGATAACAAGACTTAGGCCGACGACGAATGTGTCTATAGTACGGTATTTTTGGATTGAAAGTTGCTATTGGGGAGGGTGGGAGGGGATCGTTTTCCACAGCCTGTCGCTTCGTTTCCACCCTTCCGCACTGTCCGCCGCCTCTGAGCGCGCGCCTTGGACTGCCCGACCTGTTTTGCGGCCTGTGTACTGTGCGTGTCTTATCTCGCCTCGGCCGAAGCCCGGTCCCCTCCCCCTGGACCCGGGTCGTCAACCGCGCCACGACTCGGGTCTCCTCCCACCCCTCTGCCCCTCCCTCCCTCCTCGTGCTGGCCATCCTCCGCTCCCTCTATTCGAGCCCCAAATCAAGCTAATAGGTGGGCCCTATTACTGATTAGGGTGTCTCATACCGTACGCTCCCCAGATCTGTTGTCCAGTATTGGCTGTTAATGGCCGTCTGCACCCAAATCGCGTTATCGTTCATATCATGATCGATAACAAGACGCCAAACTCGCCAACGGAGCAGAATGTACGCGGTTATATAGGTATCCTGATTGTTGGCAATGCACACGACGTTCGGCATGAACAGTGTTTTGTGCGCAGTTCCATAGCCTGCCGTGTCCGTCTGTCTTCTGTTTGCACTTCCCATCGGCCCGCCGACGCGGCGAGTAGTGTTATGAGTTGCCAGGTCCCCCTTTTCTAGCGTCCGCACACACTGACGAACACTTCCCTCCCCCATGTTGCCGAACCCCCCTCTCTCCCCACTCTCTCTCTCTCTTTCCTCTCCCTCCCCCCCTCTCTCTCTCTCTCCTCTCTCTCTCTCTCTCTCTCCCCCACTTTCCTCCCCGTCCGACGTCCGACTACGGGACGGACGGGCCCGTCCCACGGTCCCTCTCTTGTTTGTCGGTCTTCTGGGGTTGTAGCTTTATTACCGCAACGGCCGCCCAGAACCAATAGACGGGGTCGCCAGGTGTCCTTATGGTGTGTTATTCCCCAGCGACGGCAAAGTCCAAGTCAGCGCGGAGCCAAGCGTCTATGTGCGCCTGTTCGGAGATGGCCGCGCTGAGCGGCCGCAGTTCTATGCACACAGCATTGGTTAATGGTTTGCCCATCTCCTTATTCGCTACCGCTTATAATTGCCATTGTTCCATAAATTTTTAATGGGTCAACATGGTTCAGGCTTGTGGAATTGCCTCACCGATACCGTTCAGGCGTACCGGGCGCATAAATGAGCCCACATGGTTCACGCATGTGTGGCTTGTTGCTGCGTCGATATTGTTCACGCATACCTGACGAACAGCGAGTTTGTAATGATCAACATGGTTCAGGCATGTTGAATTGCCTCTCCGATACGGTTCAGGCATAACTGGCGCATAAATGAGCCCACATGGTTCACGCATTTGTGGCTTGGTGCTGCTTCGATATGGTTCACGCATACCTGACGAACAGCGAGTTTTGTAATGGGTCAACATGGTTCAGGCATGTTGAAGTGTCTCACCGATACGGTTCAGGTGGGTGCAGGCGTACCGGGCGCATAAATCAGCCCACATGGTTCACGCATGTGTGGCTTGGTGCTGCGTCGATATGGTTCACGCATACCTGACGAACAGCGAATTTTTAATGGATCAACATGGTTCAGGCATGTTGAATTGCCTCCCCGATAAGGTTCAGGCGTAATCGGCGCATAAATGAGCCCACATGGTGCACGCATGTGTGGCTTGGTGCTGCGTCGATACGTCGATATGGTTCAGACATACCTGGCGAACAGCGAGTTTTACTGTGTCAACATGATTCAGGCATGTTGAATTGCCGCACCAATACGTGTCAGAATACCGGACGCGTAGATGAGTCCAGATGGTTCAGGCATGAGT